TTTTTGGTTGAATTATATTATGCATATGACTGTAATTTTCAAATCGATGTTTACATAAAGTCATTCAAAAAATTCATGATGCCATGATTTTGTTAAGTGATTATGGATGTAAGTTTTGTTCTCTTAAAGATAAAATTGCTCCAAAGTTGTCGTATCGGCGACGGACCTCCAAATGACCAAAAGCGGTGTAATGGTATGCATTGACCAAAAGCGGTGTACAATGATGTGCATTCGAGATAAATATCGTCGCATTATCGAACTGAATAATATCTTACCTTATAAGGCTCTATTGATAACTGTTCCAATACCACCCAACGCAAATACTAAATAGTGTTTAGCATTACAAAGATCCATTAGTGTTTAACAAAAAGCATGCAATAGTCCGAGTTCAGTCAGATTTATTGTTTAGAACATTCACAGTAAACATTGATCGTTAACATTGTTTCGTTTCTTCACATTAAATGCGTCAAAGTGATTAGATTTTTGTATGTATTGTTACTAAGTTTATATCAAATGCATTTTCAAATATTGATCTCTGTATTGTGTGGTGCTCCTTTGCGATCAAATTGATCTCTATATCGGTCGATTGATCGTCAAAATATATATATATATATATATATATATATATACGGATGAAGTTTGACCAATCAGTCCATTTATTTATTGGATATGCTGATTAAATAAGTAGATAAATAGATTGTGAAACTTCATCCGTAGCGCCTTACACGTCTTACCTGCTTTTATTGTGGATTGCTCAATTCCTGCAAATGACTCTCAACCTATTTCTTTTTTACCTCGCATATGTGCATTGTAAATTCACACACGCTTGTTTTGATGCATTGTTGAGCTTTTATTGATGTCCATTTGATTATGTGGATTTGATGTGTTTTAGATTGGTTTTGTACAGAATCGAATTGAGTTGCGACGTCGAAGTGATTAGATTTTTATATGTATTGCTACTTACTTTATATGAAGTTTGCATATTTTTCTTGATAAATCTAATATATGTGGGATGCACTACTTGCAGTAATTGTTATTTCATTGCATGGACCAATGCAATGATTAGCGCTTATTTGCTGACATCTTTTCATTCGGATTTGATTGTTATCAATATTCGACTATTTCAGAAACGTATCGGTGGTTTTTCCTACTTACAATCAGTTTGTTTTTTTTGGATTACTACTTGAAAGGTACTTGCGTCTGAAGTGTTTGATCATCCCGAACTTGTATTTGCAAAATGATAGAGGTTTTGTGTTTTGCATCGAATGCTAAAAATATATATATTTCACGAGAATGTCATACTTGACCATGTGACATTTGAACTATCTCCGATCGTTTCGTGAGATGTCACTGAGGAAATTGACAATGAATAACCGAGTGCAGTCAAGCTCTTGTAAGGGAACTGAATTCATGTCGACCGCAATTTAGTTCAGCTTATTATTACATAATGCAAACAGTATCGCACGTTCATTCAATAGTTTATTAAATAATGATTAAGTTTTATCATATGAAAGGAATGTCAACAATTACATTCTTAGGTGAAGAATCATTAAATGCGTATTTTCAAAAGATCTTAATAAGAAGATTATATGAATAAGTGAGGAGATCATAAACTGCATATCTATAATAGCAACAATCGTTGCGCGACGTAATACATTCAGTA